GTGAGATAAGAAAGACTTTCAAAAGACAGCTCTTCCACACACTTGCCTTACCCCGGACAGTAACTCCATAGCTCTGATGTATTACGGGTTCCCTTCAGAGCACAATTTGGTCGGGCTTACAATCGAGCCAGCACATCGAAGTCATTGTCAACGATCTATTTGGCTCTGACCCAGGTTAGTTGAACCTTTTGTTTTCTCACAGCCTTTTTATCGGATTTCCTGGGCCTGCTGTATCAGGTCACCGTCCAGAGACCTTCAGCAGAAAATGTTTTATCTTTGTGCGGCAGCAATTCAAGGAAGAAACTAGCATTTAGGGGGTTATGACAATGATTGATGGTGATAAAGCTTTCCAGTCTGGACGGCAAGAACCATAAGCATCATTCTCACTATTGCCAGCAATTCGTTTTCTTTAAGAATTATCAAAACTGGAGAGTTTTACTTTTAATGGAGTTTATTTAATCGGAGTATAAATAATGAAAAATAATGTAAATTTGAAAACAGTCACTTTGAAAGTAAACAAACCTACAGCTTTGTGTAACGGGTAATTAAACCTGTGCGTAGTTCTGTGAGGCATTCGTGAAACCTTATCCTGCCGTTATCACTGACACCTTCGTACAATTCCTTCGATCACTGTAGATCCTTATAGTGCATTATTACTAAGAAACATTCTGATATCCCAATTTTATCTACAAAGTTGCACTTGTTCACGAATATTTCTCGAAATTCGGCCTATAATTATGGATTTTTCATCGTGCATTTTTATCATATTCCGAAATCACTAAATTAGATCTATATACATGTAAGATTTGAGGTTTTCACGGCGGTGACTATGAAGAATGCCGTGTTCTGGGATGTGGCTCCGTATAGATATTGTATAAACCTACGTTTCGGAGGAACGTATCACCTACATCTTCAGGGTATAAAAATCCGGGAGTGAGGAACCAGCGTGAACAGGTGACTGCAGCTCTACCGAAACGTCGGCTTACCCAAAATCTACACGGCGCCACATCCAAGAAGATGGTATTCTTTATATATTAACATATATTTAAATGATAAAATAGTATTAATTGACTGAAGACTTACTCTAATTCTGCTCCTTCGGAGCCAGGTTTCATTTTTGTGTCCACAGCGCAGTGACACTGGAGGCGGTCTAATTCAAGCTAATGTACTCCACGTCTTCGAGCATCTTTCTTTAAGATGAGCTGACATGCGTTGCGCCCTGTGTTATCGGCACAACTTCTTGACTTATGCTTTAACCCCCTCACGATTTATATTGTCATGGTTGGCTGCCCTTAATCCCTCCAGTTGCCCCTCACTCTTGGTATATTTACCTCCAAATATGTAGATGATATTTGTGACCAAGCGTACCCCCAACGCCTCTGGTTCCAGGTCTTGTAATATCCTGGGTACCAGGGAGCTGGGTGGAAATCTCCCGAGGGCGAAATAGCCCGTACCGGTCGACTGAACTTGCACAATTCCGTTTGGCTGCGGATCCGAAATTCAGATTTGGCTTATATGGAAACTGTAACAGATTTTCTTTGTTTATATGACCAGACTCTCCCGAGGCACTGTGCGCGGTGCTTCGGTTCCATATTGATTTTGTTATTATCATTATTATCAGTAGGAAATCAAACCCCTTTCCTTTGCGACGTCGACTTGCATTTGTTTTCTTCGGTGCTGCATTTTTTTTTTTTTGTAATTAGGGGTATGCCCTACGTGTTGCGGTGCAGCCGTGATTACAAAGCTACTGCATCTAGTGACAATATAACTTACATTTCCTCTGGTACTTGTGAGAAGAAGATCAATAGTAAACAGAAGGATAGGAGTGAATAAGATCAAACCTTGCTAAACGTTCCTCGAAGATCAGTTTTAATATTGGCTTTTCCACATTCCTGGATCTTCCAAATTTCATTTATTTCATGATCGCCAACTAAAAAGTTTGTACGCATTCCTAACTACTCCCATGCATTCTACATGCCCCGCCCTCATCACCATCCTTCATTTATCCACCCGAAAAGTAATTTCTTTTGTTTGAGAGGCCATGCAGTGTGGTAGAATTTTACCGGGGAATGTACTGCTTCCATTCTTGAGGTTGAAAGAGTATGCTAGAAAGAAGCAGCATGAATTTGTCTGGAGGAATTGAGGAAAACCATGAGAGAGTCCTTAGCCAGGATAATCAGTATCCTGGCTGATATTTGGACTCAGCATCTCCAGAACACAGATCACCAAAGTTTCCGCTTGACCCCGCTTGGTTTGTGAAAAAGCGTGAAATTGATTTCCACTCCCTATATATGCTTAAATGGATAGTGCATAAGAATTGCCTTAGTTAGTTAGTTAGTTATTGGAGAGGGTGGGTTTCCCCATGCACCGCGACCAGTTTGATCTATTGTGCTTCCCTCTATAATATTCTACTAGTCTCTATACCCTACCAATACTGGTGCTTACCATCAGTCCCTACCAAGCCAGCGAGTTCGGCCTCTGCTGGTTTGGCGGTATCTATAATGCTTCCCCCATCTATCAGGGGCGTTAGAGACTGCTGTTGGGCGGGAAATGTCCTTGAATTTGGCTCAGTGATCTACTTAGGAGATATCAGGTTCTTTTACGTGCTGTAAAGCTACAACACGGGACCCACGGCTTAAAGTCCCTCCCGGAGGACTTGTTCCCTGAATTTTTCCGCCCTTAAAAATTCCACGACCTCCGCTGGGTTTGAACCCGCGTACTACGAGTCATGAGGTGGGAACGTTACCTCTAGACTACGGAGGCCGCTAAGAATTGCCTTAATATACGGGCCTACTTTAAACTAGAAAGTTTTGCATCAATGAGCGCTTTGTTTTATATTTCCATGCCTGGTTTTGGAAGCGACGTAAATCGCCCAATGTGAGTGTTTCCACAACCTCGTTGTGTTGATAGAAGATGTTATTTTTATATGATAGTGGATATCCGTCACGAAAGTTGCCCCGTTTGACAGCAACTTCACAAGTGCTGTGGAGGGTCTGATGGAGGCAAGTTGAGATGACACTCGAGAGGAGAAATAATGATGTGGACACTAAGATTGACAGCGGCTGCTGCAACAGCAGAATTCACAAACAAGTTCTACCAGCTCCTTGCTCTGTATCGATAGCTAGTTCATACATATCAAAGGATGCTTTCCTTTCCGGACATTGAACTAATTTAAAATTAATTACAACCGCGATAATACTTGTCAAAAACACAGTAGCTTCAAAGTAGGAATAACCGTGTTTCATGGTGGAATAACTGATTAATGGATTTGAAGTTTTAGTTATTTACATTAGTTCCGAAGTATACTAGTAAGAAACAGCATTCAAACTTAACTACCTAAACTTAAAATTAAACTTAATGAAGGAAAGTTTCAATAAGGTCTCCTAAAGAACATACAGAATAATCACGCCCTCTTGAGTATGTCGCCAGGAGCGGTACATAATGAATAGGTGAATATGTCTGAGAAGTTTGTGCTGCGAATCTATTAAAAGAGTCACGGCTGCCAGACACTCCATTTTATATGTAGCAGACAAGAAATCGTAAGCAGCCCCGATACAGCTTCATTCCTTGTTCCATAGAGTTATAGTCCGATAGTTCTCCTACACTGTTCTAATTACTATTCCTCTTTTAAGTTATTTTGTTTTTGTTGAAGAACTTGTTTCTTATATAGAGTATCTTAAATGTACCTAATACTTCACATCATAGCGTGGTAAATACTTATAAGGTCTCTCACCATAGCAAATTTCATGTTCCTAGCTCTTGTGGTCCTGTGTTTACTGCCATCAGACGGAAAGTTATAGAAAATCTTGCACTTTACTTCTATAAATTAATTAATCATGGCGTAAAAGGCGCTGATATTGTGCAGACCTTAAATGTTTGGTCCCTTCCAGTGTTGCGCTCACGTTGGTGGGTGAGGGTAACGTCCATATCTAGTTTCGTGATGATTGGTCAGTAGAAAAAAAATTTATATTGGCGGACACGCAGACAGACGCAGCCTTGTGGCCTGTACATTTTTTGACGAATGAAATCTAATCATATGTGGCTTTTCATTTGAAATAATGCGTGGTCTATTACTGATTAAGAGTATCAAACCTACGGTAAGAAAAAAATGCAAATATGCAAATGCAAAATGCAAAATAATATCCATCTTACAAAAGGATAAGAATTTTCAGTTCCGAATGTATTTGTAAACTCTGCATAAACTTCGGTATTTATCTCTACCTCAACCAATGAATATATTTTAAAGGTGCATGTCTTGCTACATTGTCAAGCACTTGAGGAGCGTTTGTCTTGCACATCATTTAGAACGACAACGTTGCTACGTTGAAAGTTAATGAATTTCGTAAATAGCCGTTTCTTGAAAAGATGAGGGAATGTGAGTTCAATAAGAAGGTCTATGCTCCATGGACATTGTTATAAACAGAAACATAATACAGCTAAAGGCATCAATGGCCGCGCCACAGCTCAGGCGGTTAGTCACATACTTCCCACCGAGTCGGCCCGGGTTCGATCCCGGGTCTGGTCAAGTGGGATTTGTGGTGGACAAAGTGGCATTGTGGGAGGTTTTCTCCGGTACTTCGGTTTCCTCTGCCAATTTTCATTCCACCTGTCTCCACAATCACCCTCACCTATCATCTGGGGCTGGTACAATAGGCCCCAGAAGTGGCCGCAGTACAAGGGACTTAGTCCCACCCCACTGGGATAAAAAAGACAGGATACCGAACCTTTGTCTTCAGCTCAAACCAGAATAATTCAGAGATACAGAAAATCTATTCAGGATTTGGCTATGAAGTGGGAACAAGATTTAGTCAGTATAAACTCTGGGAGGCACAAGAAATAAGAAAAGAAAGGGTCAGGCATTGTACACCGATTTTCAGTATCGGAATATAAGAACGTTTCCTGACACTGCGTCTAGCTCACAGACTGTATCTGCTTCACCTTCTTTCCCATTCTCAGATCCGTGGAATTGTATTGCAACTTCCATTTTCATCTTTTCTCAGGTTGAACTCAGCAGCACTTCCTTTCCGGTCACCTGTGGGCAACACGTTCGTGTCAAATTGAAATATTTACACGACTGAATTTGCGGCACTGCAGAGGCTTCTGAAAGTAAGTACGTTCAAATTGATTAGGTACGATAAAGTAAGCCAGAGACGAAATCTTCGTCTAGTGTGTTTCGAGAGAGCGTTTGTCGATATGCACGTTAACGGATCCGTAAACCTAGTGCACGTCGTGAAACAAGTAGGACATGGTCGAGTGTATGACAGAATATTCTTGAGAGTTATGGTCAATTAACTGTATGCAATTCGGATAAAAACGTAAAGTGCCGAGGTCAAATATGGCGGAGCTCTACCTCCACTCCCCTATATATCTTCATGACATGGTGCTTAATTAAGTACAGAGACTTGGCAAGAAAAGCTGCCTGTCGGCCTATTGGCCGATAACAGTGACCGCGCGGTCTAAAGCATGAAATGTCTTCGCTTGAACACTGGGATCGTGGGTTCGAATCCCACTCAAGGCGTGGGAGTCTGTATATGTTTATTCTGTGTTTGTGTTAGGTAGCAGCCTTACGACGGGCTGATCTCCCGTCTAAGGAGTCCTACCGACTGTCGTAGATTAAGAAATTGAATTGAAAAATCTTTCACGGGCACCCAAGAAGAAGAAAAAGAAGAGGGAGAAGAGCAGCCTCTGGAAGCTGTGTGCAGAACTGAGAATTTGGTTTCTCGTATGTAATTAATTTTTGCAGTCAAATGATTTCCATTCAAATAGGTAGCGGTAAGCGACAAAGTTCTGGCCGTATGTAAATTCCACGTAATTTGGGTTCTGGAGTAGAGGTTTACGCATTCTGGTTTCCGGTAATAGAGGTAGGTATGCAGCCAGCTGCACGCTTCCTTATATGTGCCCTGGGAAGTAGATTCCTCTGCCCCAAAACAGGTAACTTACCCTAGTCTTCAATCGGAATTTGCAGCTGTATACGTGATATACTATTCGAGATGCTCTTTTCCTTATTTCGTGTGGAAGGCAACATACTGGTCCGCATAAGTTTCGTATAAATTACTTTATGCCCAGGGATGATGATAGGAATGCTGATGAGAAATTCATATACCATTTTGGTAGGTAAACCTGAAGGTGACAAATCATTTTCAAGATAGGCGTAGGTCGGGATAATATTAAAATGAATCATAAAGCAAGGGTTTTGAGGTTTTTGGGTAGGCACGCGGTAGCGTAGTTGATTGAGGTACTATGCTACAAGCCGGAAGGTCACGGGTTCGAGTCCCGATGAGGTGATTTTTTTTCGATTGACCTAATCCTTCCAGCCGCTTTATGGCCCTGGGGTCGACTCAATCTCTAACAGAAATGAGTACCAGGATTCTTCCTGGTGGGGTAAAGGGCGGCTGGCGCGTAAGGCTCACAAACGTACCGTCATCCGTCAGCCGATTGTCTAGAGAAAATGTAGGACCCTCAACGTCTCACAACCCTATGGGTCTCCATGGCCTGTTACAGGGATAGCTTTGAGGTTTTGGACTGGCTTCATATGAGTCACGATATGATTCACAACAGAGTTCTGCTGATCATGTTAATGAAATTGGGTTCCGTAAAAGGTGGCAAATTCTTTGACAGGCCTAGTAACTCCTATATTCTCATGAAGAACTCGGCTTCAAGAATTAGATTAGTTCTATTTGAGTGATAATGTGTATGTTCTATGAATCATCACCTTGACTATTGCACGACTCTGTGAAGATTTAGTTTGGTGATGAATAGAAATTATATGGCTGAAATTACTTTCTGCTCTGCTTGAAGAATGTGCTCAGAGAACTTAATTTATATAATCCTCTTTTCCTTTTTGTTCGTGTACGCTGTTCTACAGGCATGTGCAGGAAACTTTTTAACGGACTAGACTACGTTCTCGTGGATAGAGATTTAAATTATAAAGCTATTAACACTGAAGTGCCCTATATCACTGAAGTAATTGTAATATCGCCTACATATCCTCGGATAAAGATATTCGCTGCCATGAAATAAGCAAAGAGGGCGAATTCATAATTCTATAACGTAGCATCAGTTTGCTTTTGTTCGTTTGTTTGCATTTATTCGCGTACTTCACACGCAATCGCCAGTCTGATGGGCGATTGTTTATTAATGAGTTTCAAGGCCACTGTTAGGCACTGGACACTACTGCTTCAAAACACAACTTCTTAGTGCCGAGATGAAGAATTGCGAATGTGTACCTCTATTTCCCGGTACATCTTCACGGTGTCATGCTTAATTAAGCACAGGGAAAGCTTAACGCATGCTTAGACCGTGATGTCTTACAGGTCACGGAAAGGAATATCGATGAGATGATTGAATTTTTTCAATTTACTTAATCCTTCCAACCGCAGTATGGTACTGGAGTCGACTCAGCCTCTAATTGAAATGAGTACCAGGAATATTCTTGTGGGTGAAGGGCGGCCGGTGCGTAGAGCTGACATACTTGCTGCCATCTATGCGCTGATTGTCTAGAAAATGTGGGAAACTCAACATCTCACAACCTTATCGGCCTCCAAGGCCTGTTACAGGGATAGCTTTACTTTACTTTACATATGTTGTAGGTTTTATTGCGTGAGTAGATACACATCAAATTGGGCTACTGTCCCTTTTTTTTGCAAATCCTTTTACGTTCAGGANCGCGCGGTCTAAGGCATGAAATGTCTTCGCTCGCTCGAACACTGGAATCGTGGGTTCGAACCCCACTTAACTCATGTACATTTGTCTGCGTTTATTCTATATTTATTTTGTGCTGAGTAGGTAGCGACCTTGCGACTGGCT